TCGTCGACCCAACACTGTAAGAAAGCACTAGGACCACATGTACCACCTTCTTGTCCATCAGGCCCCCTCCCATTGCTCGGTACCTTTGACCCATCCATCAAGGATTGTCATGGCTATCTCAGGCGAGGGAAACGACTAATGTCTTGCAAGTGCACTTGGTTGACTTGTAGCCTTTTCGAAGTAAGAGTATGATCCCACATTGAGCTAGGAAATTGTCCTTTTGCCTCTCTAGAGGTCTATCAAAATGTTCATGCAAGTTAGTTGCGATTCCAAGAAAAAGCAATGCGAAAGTAGAAAATATTACAAGACTTGTTGTGGCAAAAACCAAAGTGCGCAATAATTACACTTATAAGGGATGCTGGATTGCCATCCTCTCTGGGCTCCATGATAGCTGCCCATTTAGAGTTATCAGCTTCTGTGAACCTTGATATTGTCGAAGAAGGAACACCAGGTGAGGGTTCCCAATGTTCAGAGAGCCCCCCACAGGCTCATGCTAGTTTACATTCCTTGTAACAATTGAAGCTTCTTGAGAGGTTATATAACATGTGGATGGAGTATGGAAGGTATGAAAATGAAGCAAGTAAAGAACGCTTGTTTTGTGTTTGTTGTATTCTGAATCTCTGAATATGTCAAGAAAGCAATGCAAACATGATTCAGATTAACCTAGCAGCAAAGCGTCAGATTTGGCATCCGTAATTTCGTGGCTACTTCTGAAATAGTTCATTCCGTCTTCTTGGTTTTCTTTCCTTATCCTGCATTTCACATTAGCTAAATAGCCAGAGCTAACGTCTTAATGACCATTGGCATGGTCGGGACACTTACACTTCAGAGTCTTCACTTACACTGACGAATTAGTTTCGAACAAACCAGAGATTGGAAGGGGTTGGTATTGTTGCGAGAGGCCATGAGGGCACTTTACTATTTTGGTGGCACGAAATATTAGATCCGACAATATGATCGATCATTTTTCAGTTGAGTTAAGTGTTTGTCGGGATGCAATATTGTTAGCCATAGAGCAGGGTTTTCTGAACGTGGCGATTGAAACAGACTGCAAAAAGGTGAAGCATGCTTGGGACTCTGATAAAGATGACACATATGTTGGCTTTCAGCTGCCCCAAGATAGATGTGAAATCTCCTCGCCCATTTTTAGGGTATTAGAGCATTTCTAGCCGATCTCTTAAAACCGGTTAGACTAGTAAAAATTCACATTTGAGGGGCTAAACCAAACCAAGCCAATCCCTTATCCGCTTTAGAGGAGTATAGGATCTTTACTCCTTGGGTCGGCCGCCCTTTAAATTTACTCTTCCGCGGCCACTTCTTAGAATAATTTCAGTCCTTCCCCCATGCCAGCCCTCTTTCCCGTTTGTCGTCGGCTCCACGCCCGCCGAGTTCCTTGCCTCTGGCGACTACCCTCACCACGTACCATCCCGCGGCCCCACCGACACTCGGCCACCAAATTCCTGCGAGATCTCGACGAGAAATAACGATCTTTTTCTTTCTTTATTTTTGTCTTTTCCCCGTCTATGGCCACGGCGACACTTCCCCTCATCATCCCTAGTTTGGCGGCGCTCCTCCTATCGTCCCCGACCATGAGCAAAGCCGCAAGGCGTGGGGAGGACACCTGTATAGAGAAAAAGTTCAACGTAAAGGAGGAAATGTACACAAAGAGTGGTCGCCGATCGCCATTGCCCATTCCAATGAATCCTTGCGTTTCGGACGTTGCCATCGTGCCACTAGGAGAAGGATGAGGGAAAGAACCCATTCATATGAGGAAGCGCCCAAGTCATGGCCTGTTTTTTTTTAGAAAAGGAGGATTACCCTGGGCCTCTACATCTGGGCGATGCATACGGCCACTTTATTAATTATTCTCACAAGACCTTATAAAGCCATACAACAGCAAGACTAAAGCCACCGTCTAAGCAACAATTGTCGCTACACCTATCCAATTGATGAAGGGGCACAGATAGTCTAGGCCTAATACCAAACAGACATCGCAGCCAAACCTAAACATCTAAGACCTGAGGTCCCAACCAGGACGTCTGCCGGGTATGGGGCACCTACCAGTCCGGCGCACTCCTCAACCAGGACGCCTGCCAGGTATGAGGCCGCCGCAGCCATCTGCCGCCAATCCATCTTCAGAGTTGTACTGTTGCATGTACCGTGCCAGGGCTCTCTGCCATCGACACCACCACGACGCCCGACAGCGTTGTCCTTCTCCATCCTCCTACAGCGAACTCCGAATCCGCACTGCTATGTCGACTACTTCGTCGCACACTTATGTCACGCCCGGTGAAACTCCGTCAAATTATTGTACATCGCATCTATCCTATGTACTAGCTAGCTCATGGAAATCATCTAATATCGAAAAGTCATAGTTGGCCGCATGAAAGGAAGAAAGAAGAAGAAGAGGGGGAGAGACTTCCATGTGGGGTCTAGTTCGTATGAGGTGTTGTTTGAGAGTTCGGCTGGAAACCGGTTTTTTAGCGGAGCAATTATAAGAAGTTAAGGTATAATGGACCATTTTAGAGGCTAAATGATAAGGGGTCGGTTAGAGATGCTGTTATGCTTTTTTTTTCTAGAGGTAGTGCTAATAGTGTTGCTCATCTTTGTGCAAGAGAGGCACTTACTTCTGTTTCTGATGTGCTTCCTTCATTCCAAAATAATTGACGTTCCTAGAATTTTAAGACAGATTAAGGTGGCGGCTGGAATCTCCTTTATATCCTTTGATTTTCTAGTAGTGAGTAGTGACTGAACAACCATCATTAAAGTGGAGGAGAAGGAGGAGCACGATAGAAAAAAATGGTAGGAAAGGTGAACCAGTGACTCAGAGCGCAAGTATTTTGAAAAAAGGTTAAAAATGTTGCTCCCTCCGATCCAGATTAATTGTTGCTATTTTGGTACGACTTTAGAGTACTGGATAGCTAGACGTAATTAAATGGAACAGACGATGCTATCCCTGGCTTTCTGATTGAGGCTGTTCAGTCAGATATGCCCCCGCTTTATGAATAAAACTGCCACATGGCGGAAGCGTAAAAAAAAAAGAATCTACACTTACACCACAATTAAGCGAGTAAACAAAAAGCATAACATATAATAACATAGGTATAATTGCCCTTAAGTTGCAATGGGAATATAAATATTCCACCGGTTTAATACCAATTGTCTCAAATATTTATGTTTGGAATCCTCATGCACATCAAGAAGCATTGTCTACCTTTTCTACCTTAAAATCATAACTCTTTTCTGTCTTCTTCTTTTTCTACCTATCATCTTCATCTTCCCAATCCATGCTCACCAGCGTCATGAATGGTACATCCGGCTCAAAATCCGCCAACCCTCCGCAAAACAAAGGTATGTCACGAAGGGACAAGAGCCAAATCAACATGTATTACTGCACCAAAATATGCATCAGATCAACATTCCTGTAGAAAAATTTCTCGGTGCATAGCTACTAGTATAAATGTAGAAAGTTTAGACCTTTGAAAAATAAGTGGTATGTGGTGTGCTTGCAGATACTTTGATATGTCTAAATTAGTCAACATGACGCTAAAATCTATTGTGCTCCAGGTGTAGCAAAATTAAATTTAGATGGATGGATGAATGAATAGAAGCAAGGAGGTTAATTACAAGGTGGTATTGGCCGATTAGCTGAAGGAGTGCTTGAGAGCCTCTGCAGTGGCCTTGTTGACGAGTGCCATGGCAGGGCAGCCTTCTTCATCCTTCACCCTTGTGCTGTACTCCATGTCCTTGATCCCGTGCTGCATATGTATGTATACATCCATCAACCACATTTTTTAGAGAAGGAGGATGACCCCCGGCCTCTGCATCTGGGCGATACATGCATCCATCAACCACATGGTAAGTGCTAGGTAAACAATATTGAAAGGAAGCCATCTATGCTGAACTCTGACCCAACTCTGAACTCTGCACCTTCTATGCCCGTCACCTCAGCACATGAATGATCAAGCAGATGAATGAATTTCCCAGTAGAAAACAGCAACATTCACTAATCCTTCTTCTTTAGGAAAAAATAATAAAAACAATAAAAAAGCAGATGAACAGCAATGAATTTGCTCCGAAACTCTGTTAACGCCGTTTATGATCTGTTTCTGGACATTGCTGTTTAACAAAGTCATACATCCTGGTCAAAATTTGAGGTAAATGCCAGGATGCACGCCAGAAGATTAATCCAGTCCATGCACGCGATGTTTGACATTTTTGTTGCTCTTACCTTTTCCTCAAATAGACAGGGACCTCTTGGGTGTTTGCTTACTGAACCAACAGCACCTCTTCTTTTTGAAATAGACTGACACATTGGGTCTTTGCTTGCTGAACCAGCGCCCACTTAATTTTCAGCGCAAATGGCCGTGCAGCTCACGCCGCCCTTACCTCGTTTAGTTCTAGTCACTCAGCCAAATGTCCAAAGACAAGCATCAGACGGGAATAAACCATACAGGTACGAAGGGGTGACCTGTCATGCTTTATTTGAGCAAATACCACTTTGGACTTCGGTCGAAACATGAAGGCATTCATCTTCGGACTTGAGGCCAAACACTGATGCATCACCGTTTTTCCAGGGAAGAGCCTCTGGATTTCTTCCACTTGCGCCAAGGTCAAACATTCGCCTCACAAATTAAACATGCCAGATCACAGAAAAGAGTTTCAAACAAGACAAATCCAAGGTTTTGACTCTTTTTTCTAGAATACTGAAAAAATGTTTTCTAGAATACCAAGGTTTTGACTCTGATTGGACCTCGGATTTGGTTCACCGTGCCAACTATGCCAGGAAATCAATAATAAGTCTTTCTATATCAAAGAAACAGATACTGACAGGGGCCTTGCCGATGGCGATCTTTTCCATTGACTATGACTATTCCAAGTCTTCCTCCCTTTGATACTGAAAGGCTTAGTGGTATCTTGAAATATGTGGAGGATATGAACTCACATACTGTGTTATATTGTCTTGGTGAGATTGCAGAAATCCCAGCACCATTTTAGCCATGACAACGCCCCGTAGCATGATCTTGAGCCTTTCCTTCATAGTAGCCTCTGCAGGCCTTGCCATCCAAGGCAGAACCTGCAGTTGCCTGCAATTTAACTACCCCAGCTTCGACATGACCAACAAGAATGATTTCAGCTTCAGCCCAGGTTCAGCAATTGCAAATGGTTCCCTGAGAATCGTGCCGAACACCGGAAACTCGAGCCACCAGTCGGGAAGGGTGGTATACGTAAAGGAAACCCTCAAGCTGTGGAACAGGAAGCGAACTGTGCTCACATCTTTCGGGACGCAGTTCACGCTCAACATCCTCCCGGGAGAAGGTATGGCTTTCATACTCACAAATAGCCTGTCGTTGCCCAGGAACAGCGGCGGCCAGTGGCTCGGCGTATGCAACAACCAGACAGATGGCGCGCCAACGAACCGAATAGTAGCCGTGGAATTCGACACGAGAAAGAGCTACCAGGACGACCTCGACGGCAACCATGTCGGGCTCGACTTGAAAAGCATCAAATCTGTTTATCCGTACCCGCTCAGCAATCTTTCAATCATCCTGTCAAGCGGCTCGGATGTCTTGGTTAGTATCATCTACAACAGCACATCACATGCTTTTGTATTATCTGTAAGCCAGCGCAACACAAGTGGCAGTGGGGGGCATAATTGGCGAGAGAGCTGGCCGGTTGATCTATCACGGTACCTACTGGACGAAATATATCTGGGATTCGCAGGTTCCACGGGTGATTACACCCAACTGAACCAGATAAAATCGTGGAACTTCACCACGATAGACGACATACTCGTCGCTGAAAGAACAAGACATGGGAAGTGGGTGTTTTTGGTTCTCATTGCCTTGGTTTTCCTTGTTACATGTTCATCGTTTCTTGTGTTGTTGGTGCGGAGAAGGGTGACACAGCGGAGAAGGCTAGCCTACCGCACGCTCGAGAAAATGATCGACGCACATGGCCCGGTTAGATTTAAGCTCAAGGAGTTGAAGCACGCGACCGCCAACTTCAGCCCTCACCGTAAGCTCGGTAGAGGTGGCGGCGGCACTGTTTACCTTGGATACCTGAATGGGATCAACAGAGAGGTGGCTGTGAAGCGGGTCTCACTCTCAAGCCGAGGAGAGAAGGAGTTCGTGGCGGAGGTGAACACGATCAGCAAGCTCTCCCACCGCAACCTTGTCAAGCTGATTGGCTGGTGCCATGAGGGAGGCGAACTACTCCTCGCCTACGACTACTTCCCCATGGGCAGCCTGGACAAGCTATTGTTCGCCAATGCCACAACGACCACGTACTCGTCATCGGCGCTCACATGGGAGCGGCGATACAGGATAATCTGTGGCGTGGCATCTGCACTCGACTACCTTCTGTTGAGTAAATAGGCAATTTCTCGATTAAATTAATCCATGAGTAAATCACTAGCATGGCATTGACTAAGTTGATGACGTACTGACTCTGATCTAAACATGCACGTACTAAGCAAACAGTAGACAAATCTACACATACTGCTAGTACTGCTAATATGAAAATAATCAGGAGCGGGATAAACGAGTTATACCCTCCAGTAGGCCACGCAGAGGCCGCGGCTTTGGTGGCAGCAGCGGCGTCCTCAGCGACCTTCTTGTCGGCTTCAGCTTTCTCGGCGGCGGCACGGTCGGCGTCGGTGGACATGGTGATGACGAAGCCGACGCGGACGTGGAGGAAGTAGACGATCGGAAGCGAGCAGTCGCGTAATCGCTGCCCAAAAACCTATTCGCCCCTCACCCCGTACAGGAACCAGAAGGGCGTGGTTTCGGAGACCTGCTCTCCCGTCGACCGTGTACGTGGCGGACGGGATGGAGTCACCGGCGGCAGCAGCAGCAAAGGAACGACGGTGGGCGTGCGCGTGAGCAGATGTGATCTGTTCGTGGCGCCTAGGGTTAGGAGACACCGCATACTTATAGGCGCAGCCGCGTGGAGAGACGTGGGCTCGACCCACGTCCGAGTCCGTGACAGCCCACGATCCGACGTCTCAGATCGTGGCCCAGCTGTCAGAAAACTCTCCGTTAGTGACTGGCAAAAATAAGCGCGTAGGTGTGAGCTCGGCTCGGCTCAATCCCGCAACCCGCGGCGCGTCGTGGCGAGGCGGGCGGCGGAGGAGGAGTGCGCGAGGGCCTCTTCTCTTCTCAAGCTCCAATAGCATGTAGAAGAGAAACCCTTATAAACCACTCCAACTCTCCTTCCACTTTCGGGGTGGGACTAAACTTCCCACCACACCTAGTGCCATATAACCCACATGGGCCCTTAGAGATTTTTCAGAAATTGCAATATGGGCCTAGAGCCCATCTCAGATTTCAGCAATCCCCCACCAGATCTCGAGGGCCCATTGTGTCCTCTGTTCCAATTGCTGTTTCGATATACCAGTGTTTCAGTAAAGACCTGTTAAGGTTGAACTTCACCTAGAACAAGTGGCTACACTCCTTCACAACTGAACAATGGACTATGCCTTGAATTGTCAGTTTGGCGTAAAGAAGTTTCACTACATGTCTTACTAGTACTAGGCTGCCGAAGGCTGACCCCTCGGGTGGAGCATATAAGTCACACTCCCGGCCTATTCATGAGCTTACTAGAGATCACCCCAATCTCATAGACTGTGACCAGCAGTCGGGCTCATATAGGTGTGTTCCTCCAAAGATCGCTCTGTAGGATAGCATCTTGCTTTTATAAGCTTTGGAACACATTGAGACCGTAGTCATCCTACCATACAGTATCGAGAGTATTGCATCTCCAACGGAGTGGGTTAGTATAGTTACTCTCCTCAGTTCACCACTGGCTTGTTTTCCCAGGTCCTAGTTCACGGGATCTCCGATCATATAGGTTGGGTTACCACCATGGCAACTCATGTGGGTCTCATACCAATCTCCCTCGATGCATTGTCTATCACAACACGTGATAGCCCTTTTGTAAAGGGATCTGCCAGATTCTTAGCCGTATGGACATAGTCCAACACTATCACTCCGGAGTTTCTTAATTTTCTGACAGCTTTTAATCTCATTCTTATGTGTTTGGTGGACTTCATGTTGTCCTTTGAACTCTTCACCTTGGTGATGACAGTCTGATTGTCACAGTTCATAAGGATAGCCGGAACCGGTTTATCAACCAATGGCAAGTCCATCAAAAGATCTCGAAGCCATCTCGCTTCAACACCAGATGTGTCTAATGCCGTTAATTCTGCTTCCATTGTCGATCTCGTTAAGATCGTTTGCTTGCAAGACTTCCAGGAAACAGCGCCACCTCCAAGAGTAAACATATACCCAGTTGTGGCCTTCATCTCATCAGCATCAGAGATCCAATTCGCATCACTATACCCTTCAAGTACCGACGGGTATCCGGTATAGTGAAGTCCATAGTTCATAGTACCTTTCAGATAGCGCATAACTCTCTCAACAGCATGCCAATGTACATCACCCGGTTTGGAAACAAACCGTCTCAGTTTGCTCACAGCAAACGCGATGTCAGGCCTCGTTGCGCTCGCTAGGTACATCAGTGAACCAATGATTTGAGAGTATCTCAATTGATCTTTAGCCATGCCCGCGACAAACTTGCCCGGTAACTCGCACTTGAGAAGCTCAAGTTCCTTAACAATGCATATTATCTCATGAGCCTGCTCCAATACAGGACGGTTTTCAACCATCTTGTAATCGTGGAACTGCTCTATAATATACATCTCGCTCCCTGCATCGGCGGCCCCGAATTTAGATTCGAGCGCCTCCCACAAGTCCTTGGCGACATGCACATGTAAATATGCGTCGACCAGTTTATCTCCGATCACGCTAAGAACTGCTCCGAGAAACACAACGGTAGCCTCCTTGAACGCCTTCTCCTGTTCAGGAGCAATCGTTCCCGTGGAGACACCGGTGACCCAGAACACGTTCATAGCCGTGAGCCATAACGTGGTCTTAGTCTGCCAACGCTTGAAGTATGTACCGGTAAACTTATCCGGTTTCAGTGCAGCGGCAAAGCCACTTGCCGAGAAATTCCTACACATAATAGGTTTTTGGATTGTTGAGTAAATAGGCAATTTCTCGATTAAATTAATCCATGAGTAAATCACTAGCATGGCATTGACTAAGTTGATGACGTACTGACTCTGATCTAAACATGCACGTACTAAGAAAACAGTAGACAAATCTACATATACTGCTAGTACTGCTAATATGAAAATAATCAGGAGCGGGATAAACAAGTTATACCCTCCAGTAGGCCACGCAGAGGCCGCGGCTTTGGTGGCAGCAGCGGCGTCCTCAGCGACCTTCTTGTCGGCTTCAGCTTTCTCGGCGGCGGCACGGTCGGCGTCGGTGGACATGGTGATGACGAAGCCGACGCGGACGTGGAGGAAGTAGACGATCGGAAGCGAGCAGTCGCGTAATCGCTGCCCAAAAACCTATTCGCCCCTCACCCCGTACAGGAACCAGAAGGGCGTGGTTCCGGAGACCTGCTCTCCCGTCGACCGTGTACGTGGCGGACGGGATGGAGTCACCGGCGGCAGCAGCAGCAAAGGAACGACGGTGGGCGTGCGCGTGAGCAGATGTGATCTGTTCGTGGCGCCTAGGGTTAGGAGACACCGCATACTTATAGGCGCAGCCGCGTGGAGAGACGTGGGCTCGACCCACGTCCGAGTCCGTGACAGCCCACGATCCGACGTCTCAGATCATGGCCCAGCTGTCAGAAAACTCTCCGTTAGTGACTGGCAAAAATAAGCGCGTAGGTGTGAGCTCGGCTCGGCTCAATCCCGCAACCCGCGGCGCGTCGTGACGAGGCGTGGCGTGGCGAGGCGGGCGGCGGAGGAGGAGTGCGCGAGGGCCTCTTCTCTTCTCAAGCTCCAATAGCATGTAGAAGAGAAACCCTTATAAACCACTCCAACTCTCCTTCCACTTCCGGGGTGGGACTAAACTTCCCACCACACCTAGTGCCATATAACCCACATGGGCCCTTAGAGATTTTTCAGAAATTGCAATATGGGCCTAGAGCCCATCTCAGATTTCAGCAATCCCCCACCAGATCTCGAGGGCCCATTGTGTCCTCTGTTCCAATTGCTGTTTCGATATACCAGTGTTTCAGTAAAGACCTGTTAAGGTTGAACTTCACCTAGAACAAGTGGCTACACTCCTTCACAACTGAACAATGGACTATGCCTTGAATTGTCAGTTTGGCGTAAAGAAGTTTCACTACATGTCTTACTAGTACTGGGCTGCCGAAGGCTGACCCCTCGGGTGGAGCATATAAGTCACACTCCTGGCCTATTCATGAGCTTACTAGAGATCACCCCAATCTCATAGACTGTGACCAGCAGTCGGGCTCATATAGGTGTGTTCCTCCAAAGATCGCTCTGTAGGATAGCATCTTGCTTTTATGAGCTTTGGAACACATTGAGACCGTAGTCATCCTACCATACAGTATCGAGAGTATTGCATCTCCAACGGAGTGGGTTAGTATAGTTACTCTCCTCAGTTCACCACTGGCTTGTTTTCCCAGGTCCTAGTTCACGGGATCTCCGATCATATAGGTTGGGTTACCACCATGGCAACTCATGTGGGTCTCATACCCATCTCCCTCGATGCATTATCTATCACAACACGTGATAGCCCTTTTGTAAAGGGATCTGCCAGATTCTTAGCCGTATGGACATAGTCCAATGCTATCACTCCGGAGTTTCTTAATTTTCTGACAGCTTTTAATCTCATTCTTATGTGTTTGGTGGACTTCATGTTGTCCTTTGAACTCTTCACCTTGGTGATGACAGTCTGATTGTCACAGTTCATAAGGATAGTCGGAACCGGTTTATCAACCAATGGCAAGTCCATCAAAAGATCTCGAAGCCATCTCGCTTCAACACCAGATGTGTCTAATGCCGTTAATTCTGCTTCCATTGTCGATCTCGTTAAGATCGTTTGCTTGCAAGACTTCCAGGAAACAGCGCCACCTCCAAGAGTAAACATATACCCAGTTGTGGCCTTCATCTCATCAGCATCAGAGATCCAATCCGCATCACTATACCCTTCAAGTACCGACGGGTATCTGGTATAGTGAAGTCCATAGTTCATAGTACCTTTCAGATAGCGCATAACTCTCTCAACAGCATGCCAATGTACATCACCCGGTTTGGAAACAAACCGGCTCAGTTTGCTCACAGCAAACGCGATGTCAGGCCTCGTTGCGCTCGCTAGGTACATCAGTGAACCAATGATTTGAGAGTATCTCAATTGATCTTTAGCCATGCCTTTGGACTTTCGAATCAATACGCTAGGATCATATGGTGTTTGAGATGGTGTGCAGTCCGAATATCCAAAACGACTCAACACCTTCTCAACGTAATGGGATTGCAGAAGTGTGATCCCACCCTCATTATCTCTCAGTAGCTTGATGTTCAAGATAACATCAGCCACACCAAGGTCTTTCATCTCAAAGTTCTGAGATAGAAACGATTTGACCTCCTCAATGACTTTGAGGTTTGTTCCAAATATCAGTATGTCATCAACATACAAGCACATTATAACTCCTTCGCCCCCACCATGGCGATAGTATACACATTTGTCAGCCTCATTAACAACGAAACCAACAAATGTCAGAGTTGTATTAAACTTATCATGCCATTGCTTAGGTGCTTGTTTCAGGCCATATAAAGATTTTATCAACCTACACACCTTTCTTTCCTGACCATCTATCACAAAGCCATCAGGCCGTTGCATGTAGATTTCCTCCTTTAGCTCTCCATTTAGAAAAGCCGTCTTAACATCCATCTGATGGACGAGAAGACCATGTGAGGCCGCCAACGAGAGTAATACTCGAATGGTGGTCAGTCTAGCCACAGGTGAATAAGTATCAAAGAAATCTTCCTCTTCTTGCTGGTCATAGCCCTTGGCCACAAGCCTAGCCTTGTACTTTTCAATCGTACCATCGGGCCTAAGCTTCTTTTTGAACACCCACTTACATCCCAGTGGTTTGCAACCATAGGGACGGTCAGTGATCTCCCATGTCCCGTTAGCCATGATGGAATCCATCTCGCTACGGACCGCATCCTTCCAGTAGTCAGCTTCTGGAGAGGCATACGCTTCTGAAATAGAAGTGGGAGTATCATCCACGAGGTACACGAAGAAATCATCACCAAAGGTCTTTGCAGTCCTTTGTCTCTTGCCCCTACCAAGGGTTTCCTCGTCATCCTCCTCGGGATTTTCATCATGTGTTTGTTCATAATATTCCATAGGGATGGCAGGTTCAGGAGTCTCCTCAGATTCCTGTCTAGAAGTGCTTTGCATATCTCTCATAGGAAAAATATCCTCAAAGAATGTAGCATCCTTAGACTCCATAATTGTACCGATCTTCTGGTCAGGACACCGTTCTTTCCCTTGGGCTTGTGGGAGTTGAAGTTCTTCTGGTTCACCATGTTGGCAACAGAAGTCCCTTCGGCCCCTTTTCCGTGCGAGTCTTTTGCCCTCGAATTCTGCTCAACACTCAGATGGCCAATGACATCCTCCACAGAGAATTCACGCCTCTGATGTTTCAGAGTGGTGGCAAAGTTCCTCCAGGAATTAGGGAGCTTAGCGATTATGCAGCCCGCGACAAACTTGCCCGGTAACTCGCACTTGAGAAGCTCAAGTTCCTTAACAATGCATATTATCTCATGAGCCTACTCCAATACAGGACGGTTTTCAACCATCTTGTAATCGTGGAACTGCTCTATAATATACATCTCGCTCCCTGCATCGGCGGCCCCGAATTTAGATTCGAGCGCCTCCCACAAGTCCTTGGCGACATGCACATGTAAATATGCGTCGACCAGTTTATCTCCGATCACGCTAAGAACTGCTCCGAGAAACACAACGGTAGCCTCCTTGAACGCCTTCTCCTGTTCAGGAGCAATCGTTCCCGTGGAGACACCGGTGACCCAGAACACGTTCATAGCCGTGAGCCATAACGTGGTCTTAGTCTGCCAACGCTTGAAGTATGTACCGGTAAACTTATCCGGTTTCAGTGCAGCGGCAAAGCCACTTGCCGAGAAATTCCTACACATAATAGGTTTTTGGATTGTTGAGTAAATAGGCAATTTCTCGATTAAATTAATCCATGAGTAAATCACTAGCATGGCATTGACTAAGTTGATGACGTACTGACTCTGATCTAAACATGCACGTACTAAGAAAACAGTAGACAAATCTACATATACTGCTAGTACTGCTAATATGAAAATAATCAGGAGCGGGATAAACAAGTTATACCCTCCAGTAGGCCACGCAGAGGCCGCGGCTTTGGTGGCAGCAGCGGCGTCCTCAGCGACCTTCTTGTCGGCTTCAGCTTTCTCGGCGGCGGCACGGTCGGCGTCGGTGGACATGGTGATGACGAAGCCGACGCGGACGTGGAGGAAGTAGACGATCGGAAGCGAGCAGTCGCGTAATCGCTGCCCAAAAACCTATTCGCCCCTCACCCCGTACAGGAACCAGAAGGGCGTGGTTCCGGAGACCTGCTCTCCCGTCGACCGTGTACGTGGCGGACGGGATGGAGTCACCGGCGGCAGCAGCAGCAAAGGAACGACGGTGGGCGTGCGCGTGAGCAGATGTGATCTGTTCGTGGCGCCTAGGGTTAGGAGACACCGCATACTTATAGGCGCAGCCGCGTGGAGAGACGTGGGCTCGACCCACGTCCGAGTCCGTGACAGCCCACGATCCGACGTCTCAGATCATGGCCCAGCTGTCAGAAAACTCTCCGTTAGTGACTGGCAAAAATAAGCGCGTAGGTGTGAGCTCGGCTCGGCTCAATCCCGCAACCCGCGGCGCGTCGTGACGAGGCGTGGCGTGGCGAGGCGGGCGGCGGAGGAGGAGTGCGCGAGGGCCTCTTCTCTTCTCAAGCTCCAATAGCATGTAGAAGAGAAACCCTTATAAACCACTCCAACTCTCCTTCCACTTTCGGGGTGGGACTAAACTTCCCACCACACCTAGTGCCATATAACCCACATGGGCCCTTAGAGATTTTTCAGAAATTGCAATATGGGCCTAGAGCCCATCTCAGATTTCAGCAATCCCCCACCAGATCTCGAGGGCCCATTGTGTCCTCTGTTCCAATTGCTGTTTCGATATACCAGTGTTTCAGTAAAGACCTCTTAAGGTTGAACTTCACCTAGAACAAGTGGCTACACTCCTTCACAACTGAACAATGGACTATGCCTTGAATTGTCAGTTTGGCGTAAAGAAGTTTCACTACATGTCTTACTAGTACTAGGCTGCCGAAGGCTGACCCCTCGGGTGGAGCATATAAGTCACACTCCTGGCCTATTCATGAGCTTACTAGAGATCACCCCAATCTCATAGACTGTGACCAGCAGTCGGGCTCATATAGGTGTGTTCCTCCAAAGATCGCTCTGTAGGATAGCATCTTGCTTTTATGAGCTTTGGAACACATTGAGACCGTAGTCATCCTACCATACAGTATCGAGAGTATTGCATCTCCAACGGAGTGGGTTAGTATAGTTACTCTCCTCAGTTCACCACTGGCTTGTTTTCCCAGGTCCTAGTTCACGGGATCTCCGATCATATAGGTTGGGTTACCACCATGGCAACTCATGTGGGTCTCATACCCATCTCCCTCGATGCATTATCTATCACAACACGTGATAGCCCTTTTGTAAAGGGATCTGCCAGATTCTTAGCCGTATGGACATAGTCCAATGCTATCACTCCGGAGTTTCTTAATTTTCTGATAGCTTTTAATCTCATTCTTATGTGTTTGGTGGACTTCATGTTGTCCTTTGAACTCTTCACCTTGGTGATGACAGTCTGATTGTCACAGTTCATAAGGATAGTCGGAACCGGTTTATCAACCAATGGCAAGTCCATCAAAAGATCTCGAAGCCATCTCGCTTCAACACCAGATGTGTCTAATGCCGTTAATTCTGCTTCCATTGTCGATCTCGTTAAGATCGTTTGCTTGCAAGACTTCCAGGAAACAGCGCCACCTCCAAGAGTAAACATATACCCAGTTGTGGCCTTCATCTCATCAGCATCAGAGATCCAATTCGCATCACTATACCCTTCAAGTACCGACGGGTATCTGGTATAGTGAAGTCCATAGTTCATAGTACCTTTCAGATAGCGCATAACTCTCTCAACAGCATGCCAATGTACATCACCCGGTTTGGAAACAAACCGGCTCAGTTTGCTCACAGCAAACGCGATGTCAGGCCTCGTTGCGCTCGCTAGGTACATCAGTGAACCAATGATTTGAGAGTATCTCAATTGATCTTTAGCCATGCCTTTGGACTTTCGAATCAATACGCTAGGATCATATGGTGTTTGAGATGGTGTGCAGTCCGAATATCCAAAACGACTCAACACCTTCTCAACGTAATGGGATTGCAGAAGTGTGATCCCACCCTCATTATCTCTCAGTAGCTTGATGTTCAAGATAACAT